GCCCCGAGCCCGGCGCCCCCGAGCGAACCTTTCACTGCGAGATCTGCAACGTCAAGGTCAACTCGGAGGTGCAGCTCAAGCAGGTGGGAGCCCGCCCCCCCCCCTGGGGACCCCCGTCCCCTCCCCTGGGCTCTGGGTGGGACTGCGTCCCGGGGCTCCAGCCCGTATCCTGCCCTGCAGCCATGTACACAGGCAAGTTTGCACATGCGTGGCCCTGTACACACACACGGCATGTACACACACGGCTTCACACACCCGCACCGCCTTGTGTATGTGATCTTACACACGTGCGTGGCTTTGTGGACACGCATAGCCTTGCACACACATGACCCTGCATGCATCCACTGTGCTTATCACATGCACATGGCCTTGCACACACACAGATGGAGCTTTGCACACGTGGCTTTGCGCACTTACACTTGCACACCTGGCTTTGTGTACATACGTCTCATGTGCATATGGCTTTGCATACGCACAAGGCTTTGCACACTCATGGCCCTGCACACATGCACAGTGCCTTTTGCCTGTGTGCAGCCCTGCACAGACATGCTTCTTTGCATGCATGGCTTTGTACATGTACATGGCCTTGCACACACATTGGATTCACACATGCATGGCCCTACACACATGCACAATGTTGTACACATGCATGCAACCTTGCACACACACACAGCTTTGAGCATGCATCCTGCCTTGTACACACACATGGCCTGATGTGCCAACAGCCTTGCACACACACAGGCTTGCACATACATACATATGGCCTGGCACATACACATAGCCTTGCATACATGTGGCTTTCCACAGGCATGCTGCCTTTCACACGCACAGGTTTGCACATACACATGGCCTGGCACACGCGCACAGACTTGCACACAGATGGCTTTGCATACACCTGCTGCCTTGTGCTCACACGCACACAGGCTTGCACATACATGGCCTCACCTATGCACACAACCTTGCATACTCTCTGTGCACAGCTCCTTTTTAACCACTCGCATGCGGTGAACCCCTTTGGGCCCCGCGATGTCAGTGGGACGTGGGGCCGGGAGCCCGGATACCTGGGTTCCAACCTGACTCTAGACAGGACTTGGGGGAGAGTCTGGCGATTGGAGTGGGACAGACCAGCCACCCAGACTCCTGGTTTCTATCCCCACCACTTGGAAAGGAGCAGAGTCTAGTGGCTAGAGCAGTGGTGAGAGGACCTGGAGCCTGGACACCTTGGTTCTGTGTCTGCCGGCAGATGCGGAGCAGGCCCGGGACTCCTGGGTCCACGCTCCCTGACGCGCCCCTTTCCTGCAGCATATCTCCAGTCGGCGGCACCGGGACGGCGTGGCCGGGAAGCCCAACCCCCTGTTGAGCCGGCACAAGAAGCTGCGTGGCCCCGAGCTGGCGGTGAGCAGGGGTGGGGACAGATGAACATCGCGGGAGGAGGGAGAGAGGGAGGAATGGTTGGAGTGTGGGGTATGTAGATGGACAGATGGATGGCTAGATAGAGCATGGGGTGTATGGATGGATAGCTGGAGTGGGATGGATGGATAGATGGGCCAGTGAGTGGATGGACAAATGGGTGGATGAGTAGATGGATTAGTGGATAGATGACACAGAGGTGGGTGAATGGATGGGTACACGGATGTAGGCAGAAATGGATGGATGGATGGATGGATGGATGGATGGAGTGGGGTGTGTAGATGGACTAATGGATGGCTAGATAAAGCCTGGAGTGTATGGATGGATGGGCGGATGAGCAGATGAGTTAGTGGATGGATGGACACAGGTGGGTGGATGGATGGGTACATGGACAGATGGATGCAGGCAGAAGTGGATGGATGGATGGTTGGATGGATCATAGGGTATGGAGGTAGAGCATGGAGTGGATGGATGGATGGACACGGAGGTGGGTGGATGGATACATGGATGCAGGAAGAAGTGGGGGGATAGATGGCGGGGCCTAGTGGGTGGGTGGAAGGGCACAGGCAGGTGGATGGGTGGAGGTACGACTGCCCAGCTAGGCTGGGGGCAGGCAGATAGGCTGATGCCGGGACAGCTGATGGGGCCGTGGGCCGGTTGGCTGGACACTCGCAGTGGGCCGGGTCAGTAGGCCGAGGGGGCAGATGGAGGGTGTGGCCAGGGGGCAGAGAGAGGGGTGGTGGGGGCCAGTGTGTGCCCCCCCACCCCTGATGGCCTCCTCCCCCTGCAGGCCCCGCTGGCCTTCCCCAAGGAGCTGCCCAAGGCGCTGGCGGCCGGGTTGCTGCCCAATCCGCTGGCGGCTGCCATGGCGATGGCGGCGGCGGCCTCGGCCCCCCTGGCGCTGCGCCCCGCTGCGCCGCTGTTGCAGGGCCCCCCCCCTACGCACCCCCCGCTGCGCCCCGCGCCCCGCCC